AACAAATGCCAAAATCACTCTCAAACACACTCTTACTTCGTCTTTCTTCAAGGATGACGAATGGCGCTTAGTGTTGGGAGCTGAGCGCGCGCAGCCGACCTGGATGCGACTGGCCTGGGGAGCTGACCTGGTAAGCCGACTTTGGTCACTTGGGTGAGTAAGGATGGCCGAGTAACCCCACCCTTCGGAGCAGGGGTCGAACCGGTCACCGACAAAGACCGGCGGATATTCGACGAGCCCCTCACCGCTCAGCGGGTTATCCCGATGGGACGTATATTTACCCAAACATCGCTATAAATACCCCCGTCGCCCATGGTTCAAGGTATGCAAATCTGTCTGACGCTGATCTGTTGAAGTCGGATTATTACTGACTTGGACGTTGGAGTGGCCTACCTGTTTTGTAGGTACCCCTGAAGAATACTGCCAGTCGACCTCGCAAATCGTCCTCCGTACCTTGGCAGATTTTTGCATCAAACACCTAATAATCTCTTTTATTTTTGGATATCACTCTCTCATTTGTCTTTTTAATCTATCTATTACCACCCTCTCACTAAATATCTAGCATTACCTTGATCTCGTCTGTTTGGTTAGTATTGATAAATTTGTTTTTTTTCTTTCGAGAAATTAGTATTGATAAATTATTAAATTTATTTTCACCCATCACATTAATATTTTTAATCTGATAGTAATTCAACATGGTATTTTACACTCCACAACAAAAAATATAAACCATTGATTTAGTTGATATCCATTGTTTTTGCCAGTCAACATCACTCAATAGGTAGAAGTTGAGGTGCTTGTTTTATTCTTAAAATAACACGCATGGTTTTAGAATAAAAAAAGTACAGTACATGCTTTTTTTTAAAAGGTAAAATACGGTTTTTAGGATATTTATTATTATTATTATTATTTTTGCATATTCTTAATAAAACTTTATATATTAAAAAAAACCATTCATACAAGGCTCTATTAAAAAAACTTTATTTGTTTGTTAGTAAAAGAAATGAGGATGGAAGATTAAAATTAGTGATCTCTTGATTATAGAGGTGTCAATTATGGCTGAATTAAATTCAAATTGACTTATTTACTCAATTGATGACTTATTTTTTAAAATTGATGAATGATGCATGAATGCGTGTTTTTTAAAATTTAACATTAATGTTTCTAAAAGAATGTTAGATTTACAAAATTTTATGTAACACTATATAATTTACAAAAACCACCATACTATATCGCGTAAAAATTGGTTTAACATGTTAATGTATAGCTGAATTCATCAATTCAATAAAGTATAATAACAATTTTTCTTTAAAAAAAATTAATAATTTCAACTTGAACGGAGCGCAACTTTATTAATTCACTCCTCTTTAATAAAAATATTGTCAGTTGTCGCTAAAAAAAAAAGAAAAAGAGAGAGTAGAGTAACAACATTTATTAAAAAAATTATAGGGTATGATCTTCTATTTCTTGTTTAAACTGTACAATAATTTTTTTTTGTTTATATGTAACCATGCATTTTTAGCTATTCAATTTTGTTTTTCTACCGATCTTTAGGGATGTGTTTGGATTGATATTTTTTTTAAGAACCAGCATCCAATTGGATATGATTTGCACCTAAGATAACATAAAATTTATTGAAAATTATCTAAATAAATAATAAATTCATAAACGGATTGGTTTATAGCTCCCAACTATTCAAGATTTGAGAAAACTTCACTTATAGATTTAAATTCATTCCCTCTCACTTTATCCTAATGTTTTTGGACAATGAACAACATAAAGGTTAATATAAAATATACACAAATATAAATATAAACTTAAAATTGTCAATGTAAATATTTGTAATTTTGACGCCTTAAATAAAATAAGATTATTTATTAAATCATAATAAAATTTTCTTATAAATTACAGAGAAAGATAATTTTAGTGTAAAACTAAAGTTTGAAAATTAAAAAACACAGTTCAATGAGTTAAGACACATATTATTTAACAATGAGATTAAGAGTTCAAATCTCTATTTCTATAGGTTGTACTAAAAAATTACATTGAAAATTTTCCAGCCAATTGAACTGAAAAAACTGCTTTTTCTTTTGCGTTTCAATTCAATAATAAAAGGGTGTAGATAATTTGTTGACTGTAGATTGCATTTTATTATTATTATTATTATTATTATTATTATTTTGCTTTTGGTTGTGTTGTTCCCCCATTTTATCAAAGAAAAAAAAATCAAACAACAACAAAATAATTATTAAACTTTTAGCATCCAATATATATATTGGATGAATCAAATGAATCAAAAAGACAGCTATATTAAATGAATCAAATGAATTAAGTAATATTTCTTTGACAAATTTATTTTTCAAGTATTGTTTTTAAATGTGTGATTCTCAAAATTTTGAAAACAACTTTTCTATGTGTTTTAGTATTTTGAAAATTTTAAATTTTAAATTTTAAAATACTTAATTACATTAGAAAGATAAAAACGTGATAAATATAAATTTTTCATGTTATAAACTAATTATATATTTTTTAAATCTCAAAACATATAAAATATAAAATATTATAAATTATATAATCCTGCAATATAATAATTCTCCAAATTTTATAACATGTTAATAAATTAATTAATAATATTGAATTTGGTTGGTAAGTAAGTCGTTGGTTTCGATCATTATTAAAAATATTTAAACTAAGATTCAATTTTCAAATTTATTATCAAACACATATCATAAAACGCTATGATACAAATATATATATATATATATATATATATAACGATGAACGCTAAACATAGAAATACAATTCTATTAAATCTCTTATTTTCAGATTACCAATGAAAAGCATATGAAACTTTTTAAAATTTGAGAGTAAATTTTTTGGAATTAAGTTTCGTTTTTGTGAACCATAATTATACTTTAATCTAAACTACATGGTATCTTTTTTTTCTTGTTTGTTTTTTTTTCTTTTAGTATAATAAATGTGAAGGTGTGTGTTAATTTGAATATTCTGTCATCGGAGAAGTTATATATCTTTACCAATTTTTAAATGGCTAAGAAACTACCATATATTTATATAAATAAGTGTATATTTTTTTATCCTACACAACTTATAAAACTAGTAGAAAATAAAATCCTACTTATGAATAAACATAAAATAATTAAGAAATTAAAATAAAATACCAGCAAGAAAAACAAATTTACATGGAGAACTAAAAAATCGGCCCACCATAACAAAAATGAACTATATGAAAAGTTTTAGAATTATCTTGCAAACTATACTTCCGATAGTAAATATGAACATAGTTTAGCTGTAATTGACATCTATTCTTTCAAGGTTGGAGGTTCAATCTCCCATATCTCCAAACTATTATACTAAAAAAACTATAATTACGAGAGACACTCTTTTATATCACTCTCGTACAATTAGTATACCAAACTTCAATGCCTTTTATTAGAATGATTAAAACCCAAAGCAATGAAACTGATATTTTTATAACACTTTGAGGGAAAAAAACTATTTTAGTTCATAAATAGGCCTTTAAAATATCAATTTATTCTAAGCCATTTTAAAAAGTAACTATTTTGGCCGCTATATTTGTACAGGCTTTGATGTATTTGGTTATTGTATTTTTAATTTTTTTGTATTTATAGTACAACGTGTGGGAGTGAGATATCGAACTCGCAGCCTATTGATTGGAGATATATGTTAATTATTACTAAGTTAACTCGGTATACATACATAAAAAAAAAAGAAATCAATATGCTCACACACATAATATTTGAAAGATATTTTAACAACGTATTCAATAATACCAATAAATAATTTGAAATTACAAATACGAAGATGAAACTTGAGAGTTTATTATAATTTACATCCAGTTCGGTAACAAACATTTTATATTTTACGTTTTGAAAAATGAAGTTCATGTCTTACTTGTACGTGATCTTTATTCTGTTATATATTTTTTCAATACCATTTTTAAAATTTAAACCAAAAATTTCAAAAACTCTAAAATTAAATTATAAAAATATAATTTTTGTTTTATAAATTTGACTAATAATCCAAACATGTTTTTAAGAAATATGAAAGAGATAATAAGGAAATATTTTTCAAAATATGAAAAAAGTTTACATTATTTTAAAAGTTTAAATTCCAAATTAAGATATGAATTTATACATTAATATGTTTATAATTTTATAATGAATTACAGGTTGACTCATTGGCCAAAATAGGTAGAATAAATTCAAATCTCACAACCCCTTAAAAAAATCAAATGTAATAAGATGATTATTTCATCAAATAACTTTTAAAATTATATTTAATATATATTTAAATTTGTTAATATTGTGTCCCAAACTTCAAATTCATAAATCTATTATAGACTTCTTCAAATGTTACCCAGTAGATACAAAATTATAAATTACAAAACTTAGTAGATATTTTTGAAATTATAAATAAATTTTGGAATAATTTTCACTTCCGCATCCGTACAATTGATCCATGGCCGGGAAAAAGTAAAACCACAGCGGCGGTGCCGGTGGGGAAGGGTGGAGCAGAGCCATTCTTGTAATTAGGGCAACATTGAAGGGTATTATTAGAAAATTAAAAATATTAATTTGACAGCGACGCATAGTGAAGACAGCGGCTAAAAAAGCCATCCAAAGCCGAGAGCTTCTCTCTCCTTAAAGGGTCCTCTTATTGTTCTTCTCTCTCTGTTCGCGTTTTCGTTATCGTGCGCTTCTCGGACAATCTCAACCTCACAGATTCATTGCCTGCCTATTGCCGATCTCTCAACTGTATGACCGCGAGCTCTAATCTGAAGCCATAATCCTGCAATCTGATCTTTATGTCTCTTTCAATCTTTATTTTTGTTTATCAAATCTTCAAGATCCCTAATTTTATTTCATCGTTTCATTCTGAAATTGCTGCAGCTATATATATATATATATATATATATATATTTAATTCATCTAATTTACGGCGATATATACTCTTTGATTCTCATCAATATGCATATGCCCTTCGATTTTTGTATTGTTGCATGTTAATGAATTTAATTAGGTCTTCGATTCGCCCTTTTTCCTTCACGATTACTTGGTGAGTCTTAGCTAATTTCTGGTTACGTTTTTATTTTACAAAATATTTCGATCTAGAATTCTGGTATTTCTAGTTTGTCTGTACTCTTCGTTGAAAATGGACATTTAGCACTAACACAGTAGATTGCCATTAGCTTTCATCGATATATCGTGCTCGTTTCAGTCAATGGGCGGTTTTGGGGTTTATTTTGTCTGTATAAAAAAATGTTCTCGTATTTTAAGTGATGAAGTGTTGGCATTAGATGTGGGCTGTGGTTATAAGTATTGTGTAGGAACATGATTGCATGTCTCATTGAATGAATTAGCAAGCTCTAGTATCACATTCTTCTTGTTATTTTTTGGTTGTTTCTTTTGATGCTTTTGGAAAAAGAGGATATAGAAGATGGGAGTTGGATGTCTGTGTCATGATTTTTTTTTTGTTCTCGTCATTTGGTAATTATTCTTAAGTGAACCTACTCATATAAATGACTCGTAATTTGTCTCCGCGCTTTGGTGAAGATTGATAGCCTTTTCTAGTTTCCTGGGAAAATAAACGTAAGCTTTGTCCTGTGCACAATCAGGACGAGTCAGATAACTGATATCTCCCTAGTATGTATATGCACGTTGAATTGCTTTTGTTCCATTCTTTGGTACATTTTCTTCTTTGCTTTTATAATTAGTTCTGCTTTATTTTTGTGCTTAGACAACCATGAGTGACGGAGGAGAAAAGACTTGTCCACTCTGTGCGGAAGAGATGGATCTTACTGATCAGCAATTGAAGCCTTGCAAATGTGGATATGAGGTCTGAAACATACCATATACGTAGCTCAGCAATTGAAGAGATGATCTCTTTATTCAATATTTACAAGTTCTATTGAAAATATATTATATGGATTTAGATTATTGCTTTAAGTATGATGAAGGGAGGCAAGAGTTCTAAATTAGTTTAAGAGCCTTTAGCACCGTTTTGGGAATGCAGAATTAGGTTATTTTCGTCTTCTCTCTTTTAAATCTGCAGTTAAGTAATAACTTTTGTTATCTTAACTGTCCAAGTTGGTGGTAACTTTCTCATGAAAATGAAAAGAAAAAGAAAAAGAAAAAGAAATTATGATAGAGATTAGTCTGAGAGGAAAATATATGATAGATTACACAAATATGGTGATTTAATTATTTGTTTGGGACTGTCTTCCTACTTTCCATTTAACTGTTTGGGACTTCTGGTTTCTCTGGTTCCACATTTTAGTTTTAATATGACTTTTAAAAATGTTTCTTGATGTTTTCCTGATCTTTCAACAAGCCTACTTTTTGGGGAATTGACCGGGCATCTTTATTGAATCTCTTTGAGGAAGACTTATATTTCCTACTTTAGATGTCGAGTTTGATATTTGGAACACAGATATCACATTTTTTGAGAATCGGGAAACTCTGATATTATATTTTGCTTTTTTTTCTATTCAGAAGAGCTGTGGGAGGAGAAAGCTGTGGGAGGAGAAACTCCCTTTCAGAATTGAACTACTTAGAAAATAAGAGCCTTCCAATTTGACATAATCAACAACAACAAAAAAAGCTATAACTACAAAAAAATTTCTTAGTGATTTGAACACGATCATGAAGCATTGGGTAAAAAAAGGAAATAAAATCTAAAGCAGTAAACTTATCTTAAAAAATATGCTGATTTCTTCACGAGTTTTATGTATGTTACTGGTGGGAACAAAAATCTCAAGTTGTTAGTTATGGATATATCTCCATCCTTTCACTTTAAGAGTGGAACTGAATCTTATACTGATGGCTACACCACTGGCAGATCTGTGTTTGGTGCTGGCATCATATCATGGACATGGCTGAGAAGGATGACACTGAGGGTCGATGTCCTGCATGTCGTGCTGTATATGACAAGGAAAAGATTGTTGGCATGGCATCAAGCTGTGAAAGGTCAGTTTTCCTTTAGTTTGTTTTTCTATTCTTTAAATTAACTCGGGGCTTCATATAAATCCCCTCTGCTATGGGAGATACTGTATCTAATTTCCCCTTCTCTAGGTCCCTGTTTGTCAATGAAATTTTCATTTTCCTATAGGAAAGAAATACAGATAAACACTCTAGTAGTCTAGTTAAGTGCCTGACAAGTTTTTGGGGTATAGTGTCTGGCAAGGGTGAGCTTTTTGTTATTCTCTGTTTATTATTGACACTAACTGGGGAGGGTTTCTGTAAGGTTCGATGTAAGATGGTTTGGGCATAATTTTATGTTTTACTTAATACTGGTCTTTGTTTGTAAATTTTATTGGTTTTCGTTTACAAAAGTGTCTGACTAAGTGTTAGAATGTTAAGTTGTATCGGTAAGTGTTGGGTTGTTTGACATTACTTTGTCAGTGGCACATTAGCCACAATCCTTCCATCTGCAACTTTTAACTTTTAAATAGATTTGTCTAAATTCTCTTAGCAGATTGGTTGCTGAAATCAGCGTGGAAAAGAAGGTTAAGTCACAAAAAGCAAAAGCCAAATCATCTGAAGGACGAAAGCAACTTAGCAGTGTACGCGTGATACAACGGAATCTTGTATATATTGTTGGGTTGCCTCTCAATCTGGCAGATGAAGATGTATATTCTGATTTTCTCTTTCTCAAACTATTGGTTCCTAAGTAGATTTGATTACTTTTGGTTCTGACCGGTAATTAATGCCCTATTATCATCCCATGTGCAGCTTCTTCAGCGAAGAGAATATTTTGGTCAGTATGGCAAGGTTCTAAAAGTGTCTATGTCACGGACGGCGACAGGAGTCATTCAACAATTTCCAAATAATACGTGTAGTGTGTAAGTTCAAATGTTCTTATGACATGTGACTTTTATCTTTTTTCTTGAAGAAAACTATTTTAGTCATTACATGGATTATTTAACTTGAATACATTTCATTGCATGGTAAGTTCCTCTTTGGAACTTTTTATTTCCGTGAATCTCGTTTCTATGTGAAGGGCTGATTAGTTTAGTTTGAATTGAGGCATTGACGTAATTCTTATTCCATTTTCTACTTAGATGTGTATAATATATGTAAACAAGTATATTTATTTATTCTGTTTTTATTTGAATGAAAAATATTTATTTTCTTGTAATTTTTTTTTGGTTAGATATATTACATACTCAAAAGAGGAGGAAGCTGTTCGATGTATCCAAAACGTACATCAGTTTGTCCTGGAGGGCAAACCTTTAAGGTTAGTGTATATTCAAGTTTATAATACTAGAGACCATTTTGAATGTCCGAGCAATGTATTGGTGAAAACTTCTTAATTTGCTCCCTCTGGGTTCCTCAATTTAGGGCATGCTTTGGAACTACAAAGTACTGTCACGCTTGGTTGAGGAATGTGGTATGGATTTTATAATTTGTTTCTCTTGTTTTAATAATTGAACTAAAAGTTTTACGTTATTTCTATTATCATAATGTAATAAACTCATGTTTCAGCCTTGCACCAACCCTGACTGTTTGTATTTACACGAGGTTGGTTCTCAAGAAGATAGTTTCACAAAAGATGAAATAATTTCAGCGTACACAAGGTGTGTTAATTATTTTGTATTTAATATTTCTGTTGTGCCTTTGATGCTGAATTTCTCCAAAAGTTGTTTAGATTGAGATTCATTACACATTTTGATTCGAGTTTGGCATGTTTGATTATTTATTTATTTATTCTTCAAAAAGCTAATTGATGTTGAGCCCTATAAGATATCCCTGAGGGTCGTGTAAAAGATATGATATTTGAATATGATATAGTGTGGAATGGACATGGGATAATGATGGTTTGCTCTTAATTTTTTTCCGTAGTTCTCTACTTTTTTCTATAAGTAGACGGACACTAGTTCAATTGTAGATTTTGAAATTTCTGCTTTGAATTTGGAACTAAGTGAAGTGAGGTCATCAAGCCTTAAGAAATAGGCTATGGATGCTATACATATCCCTATATCTACCACGAACATGGTCTGGACTAAAGATTATTCAAAATGACAAATAAACTAACGTTTAATTCTGGAATGGTTATTATTGTTATTCTTTTTATAATAGGGAAGAAATATCTTATTGATAAACAGCGAGAAATAAAATAAGCTTAGAGGATATGGTGTCCTCCAAACTTCAGAAAAATATCATGAATAAGAAATCAGCATCAGTACTCCCGAAGGAAGTTCATCATTTAGAGATGTAACATTTTTATACCAATAATTGGTTAGGATTTGAACTCTTGGACAAGCAGTCTCATCAATGTTTGCCTTATCCTTATTTTTGGTTATTTTCCCTTTCCAACCAAATAATCCCACCCAACAACTAGCTGATAATTCGTGTTTATTGTTATATTTGGATTTTGCTATCTTTCTATTTGCTGCTCTGCTTGGAGACGTCATGTTTTGGTTGGATGATTAATTAACTTACATAGTGGTATTAAAGGAGTAGAGTGCAACAAATTACTGGTGCTTCAAACAATATGCAACGGCGTTCAGGGAGTGTGTTGCCACCACCAATGGATGATTACTGCAATAACAATTCTTCAAATGGAAAACCCATTGTTAAGAACACTTCAAGTGTAAGACATCCTAAACTCCTATAGTTAAGGAAACTGTTGATGTTTCTTTCATATATGACATACAGCAATAATTTGTTTTGTCAGTTAGGTATTAGTTTACGTTGGGATTATAAATATGTGTTTGAAAATTAAGCGTTCTGTATTTACTATCAATACATTAACATCTCCTAAGTGCGTCAGAGGTCAATAGATTAAGTTATTTATTCTCTTTAATTTATTGAACATTCTTGGGGTAACAAACTATGGCATATTCTTGTAACAAGGAATCTCCGTAATCTTGATTGTTATTCAGAGGGATGGATTTTTGAAAATTTTGTGACGACTGTGATCTTATTTTTCGTTATTTTCTTTCTTTCTGTTGATAATAGTGGTTTGCTCATGCTATACACACAGTTTTGTGTCCAAAAAATAGAAGAATTTTATGCTTATATGCTTGATTCATTTTGTTAAACAGAATACTTGTAGTATTGTTAGAGGTTCCCCACCAAATGGAAGCTCAGATAAGTCAATTACTCTCCCTGCAGCTGCCTCATGGTACATGAATGTTTATGTTTGCACGTGTTTTAAAGTTCTGATCTCTGTTTTTGTCTAAGAGGTCATTAAACACACGTTCTTATTTGTGCCAGGGGAACTCGTGGCTCAAATTTTCAAGCACCAGCGACAAGTTTACCAAGTCAAAATGGGCATCCAAAGAAGTCGGATGCTGGTAACATTGTATTAGGATTTTCTTCTGCAGTCGCAGGTATTGCTTCTGTTCCTACAGTACATAGTGAAGCAGGAAAGAGACCCTCATCTAGTGAGAATCACACTTCTAATAATACCAAAGGTCATCAAGAATCCTTAAAATCTATGAAACCTCTTGTTAGCATGGATTGTCAATCTTTTACAACAGACAGACATGGTTCACCTGAGGAGATGCCTACTTCTGTATCTTTGGGTTGTCAAGTAGCTGGTATGCCAGCTGCAAAAGACAGTCAGAAAGCAATGGCTACGACACCCAGCATTTCTACTTCTACTCATCATATTGGGGATTCTTGCAGTTCTAGTCCTGATGCAGGAGTTACTTCTGATGATGGGCTCATACAAAACCTGAGGTCTGATATGCCAACAATGAGCATTGATAGAGATGTTATAGACGGTCAATCCAGTCAACAGACAAATTCCTCAGTTGCTGATCATGATTTGATTAATGCTTCGAGGGATTGCCACAGCTTACAAGAGCACTTTTCTGGGAAGTCTAGAGTACCTTTAACCTCTACAGCTGCTTGGAAAGGTGATGATGTTATTAATGGCACGTCTTTTTCTAGAGAAGAGCGTGATTGGAGATCGGATTTCCAAAGAGAGATAGTAACTACAACTGAGTTGGAAGAGGATGTGATATCTTTTAATAGTCAGAGGCTTAAGGATCCAGAGATTGTGAGCCCTTCAACACGGCTGCCTGGCTGGGCTTCTACATTTCATACTTTAAATAGCTCTACCTCACATCCTTTGTGGCCTGATGCTGTCAATGGGGCGGCAACCAGTTTAGCTACAGATTTGTCATTTGCTGATAAACAATTTAATGACAATGCATCTCTACAATCATCTAACATTCCCCCTGCATTTAGTGGTCAGCCTGAGAATGGAGTCAATACGTCTGGGCAGTCTGTGCATAGTTTAAGACAGTTTGTAGCCAATGATCCTGCTAATTTAAATGGTGATTCGCTTTTTGTTGAGAAACAATTCAATGATAATTCACATTTCCGAGCTTCTAACAATTCAACTGCTATCAATAGCAACATGGAGAATGCTATCTGCTCTTCTGCTGCTAATGATATGCCTCATGGGAACTCATTTTTATATCACAACGAAGGAAGAGGAAGGCACGTGGGAAGATTGTCCGGTGACACACTGAATGCCAATGGCAACAGTTTTGTAGATAATGGTGAAAATAGCATAATCTCAAATATATTGTCTATGGACTTCAATATGTGGGATAACTCGTTGACTTCTCAGAATCTGGCCAAGATTTTGGGTGAAACTGATAAACAATCTCCAAGTTCCAGGAAGGTGCAAACTAACAATCAGTCGAGATTCTCTTTTGCCAGGCAGGAAGATTCTATAGGTCAAGATTTTAGGATACAACCTTCTCTTGATATCATTGGACAGATGCAGAGGAATCAGTCTTTGAGGCGTGATTTCTCTGAAAATGGAAATGTCCACATGGACAAGTTTCATAATAGTGGTGGGTTCTATTCTAATAACTATGATGGATCAGTAAATCATCCAAGCAATCATTCCCTTAATTCCTCAAATAAGCTCTCTGGTGAGTGCCCATATTTTTGATAAATTTCAACGTATTCTTGCATTTTTGTTGTTAACTTTTACCTAATCTTAGCGTTTTCCAACTGTTTTAACTCTCCATTGTCCTAGTATATTTTTTTCTTGGCGTATTTTTTTTACATGTAATGGGCAGTGTTGGTTTGGGAAATATCCTCGTAGTGCTCTTTCTCGGGATGAAGAAACATCAGAACCAAAATCATTATGTTTTACTTTTTTTATATTATTTTTTTCTACGAATGGATTCTTCTGGGGTTAAAATGAAGTCTATCTTGCCTCTGTTGATTCATTTATTTATCTGTTGGAGTTCAAATAAATTGCCCCTGAACTTTTTTTCGTATGCGCACTCTGAAGTTCTCTTTTAGAATCAGCTGTTTTTTGTGTTTAGGATAGAAACTTAGTTACATACTCTTCTTTTGTAGCAGGTTCGAGGGCTCAAATCTCAGCCCCACCTGGGTTTTCTGTTCCAAGCCGGGTGCCACCTCCAGGTTTCTCTTCTCACGACAGAGTAGATCAAGTTTCTGACTCCCTTGGTATGTGTTTTCCTCTGTTTAGCAAAGTTCTCTTAAGGAAACCTGTATTCTTTGTTCCCTATTAAAACTACTTGGGTTAAATTTTTACCTTTTGACTCAGGAAATCATCTGCTTGATGCTTCTTCCTTACTGAGAAACTCATATCAGGCAAATCAAACTGGAAATACTGTTAGCACTGGCGATATTGAGTTTATGGATCCTGCTATTTTGGCAGTTGGTAAAGGAAGGCGTCAGATAGGTCTCAACAACACTGGTCTAGACATTAGGACTCCGTTTTCTCCTTCATTAGGTACCTTTGATAATGAAGCAAGTCTTCAGTTACTGATGCAAAGGTCTTTAAATCCTCAACAGAGATACTCTGATGTTGGAGATGGATTCTCTCATCTTGGGGATTCCTATGGCATTTCTTCAAGGCTTGTAGATCAATCACCGGTCAACAATCTATCTAATTTTGCACAGCTGTCTCTCCAACATTCTAGGAATGGGCTCATGTCACATGGCCACTGGGATGGTTGGAATGAGGTTCAAGGTGGAACCAATATTGGTGTGGCAGATATATTAAGAAATGATAGGCTTGGATTTAACAAATATTATGCTGGTTATGAGGATTCAAAGTTTCGCATGCCCAGCTCAAGCGATCTATATAACAGGACTTTTGGAATGTAAAATTTAGTGAATGAAATGATGTGAGTGCCTAGATTGGTGGTGGCAGCCTTTGAGCAAAGGACTAGGATTTACCTTGTGAGGTCTGTGGACGTATAGCCATGATGTCGTGAGAGATTCGTGTCCGGCCTTGAATGAGCAGCCTGATGAAGATTTATGCCCCAATGGAATGGGAATCATATTACCTCCAGGTAAGGATAATTGTGTGTATATTTTTTGTTCGAGGATCGTTATCCTTCCTTTTACAGCTCCTTTTTAATTGAATCATGAATACCCATATCTATATGCCCCTTTCTTTTAACCCCCCACCCCAGCAAACAGAGAGAGAAGAGGGGTTTTATTTTTGTTTTTTTGTTTTTGTTTGAGTTCAAGAGAGGACCTGGTTTTTTGGGCTTGAAGAATTGTGGGTCGAAGAATCTTATTCTCAGAAGTGGCTATTCATAAAACGTATAGATTGGAGTTGACCTTGAAATTGTTCCTCAATCTTCTGTGATTGCTCGCTCATTTGTTCTACTCGTCCCATTTATTGTGTGCAGGTGTGATGTTTAGCTCACGTGATTGTTTTCGCGGCAAGTTGTATATTGGCAACGATTATTTGACAGGAAATATGTAAATGTCTGTCAATCTGGTAGGGTGATCTTCCCTCCAGCTGTTGAATATTTTGTTCCTTCCTCTACTACAGCGAAGAGTAAAAAAATCTAGTTTTTTGGCTCTCTAAACCTAAAAGTTGAGATTGATGGAGTTCCTAAATCCTGTCTTCACAAGGTTATATGTGAATCAATTTGAAATTACTTCGATTTTTTACTGAGTATTTTATTACTGTTCCTTAGATTTTAGTTTAAAGTTGGGGAGTTTCCAGTCTTTCATTGTAGGCTTGGTTACTACTACTATTACATGTGGAGATTAGATGGATGCTGGCCCGAGGAACTTCGTTTCACTCCGATCAAGTAGCACCTGCCACGTCAAGTGGCTGTGTGACTTCACGGGGAAGTGAATATCAGTTACCTCTTTGGAGAATTGACTACCTAATTGGGTGGATCAACTCCTTCCACTCCTCTCCCCCCTTCTCCATGTAATCCAAATCCCAAGTATCAAAAGGTTCCTGTACGGTTTTACTGACTGTTGAAGGCGGGATCTCGAATCATTTTACTGGTTTCACGGTGTGCTGGACGGTGCCATGAGTTTGTATTGTTATAGGTTTCTATCCTTTCTTTTGGGAGAAGCTGAACTATTTTCCCACGAGATGGAATTTTGATTCAACGGGAGGTCGAAGTGTGCTTTCTGTCGGTATCGGAAGTTGAATGGCTTGGATAAGGCAATGGCAGAGAACAATGCATGAAAATGAATGGGAGAAATTAAGTCGATTAAACCACCATATTTTTACTACATTACCACATCTTAAAAGAAATTTTAGTCGTTTTAAAACTCTCTTCTGCTTGCAAGTGCATTGGGAGACCAGCAGGGAATTCATGAAACGTGAAAAAAAAATTTAAATTTGGCGGAAGGTAATTGGTCGCAGTCGTTAAAGAAAAATTATATTCCAAAAAGAAAAGTGTCATGAGAATGTATCATGTCAGGCCTAGTTATGGCATTAAATTTATTTTTAATTATTCATTTTGTTAAATTACAAGAACTTTTAGCTTTATCTCTAATAGGTATAAATTTTAAATAGTGTAAATTTTTAGGTGTCTAAAAGATTTCTTAAGAAGTGTAATGTTTTTTTTATTAGATTTTTTGAATTTTCAATTTTGTGTCTAATTATTGACCTATTTGATATTTTATTTAAAATTACTAATGTATTAAACAAATTGAATTTTTATCTTTAATAAAATCCTACCTTTTCAATTAGATATAAATATAAAATAGAAAGTTTAAGAATTCATTAGATACAAAATTGAAAATTCAAGGATTTATTATACAATTTTAGTGGGTATTAATACCGACGCAAACATGAGTTAATAGTAATTGAATCTATTAATTTAGGATAATTAATTAAAATATGCTTTAGAATTATTTGTTATTTTTTATTTTTTAAAAACTTCTTATTGTTATTCTTTCCAGGAATAGATTAGATACACTTAACTAGTTCATTTACATAAATGATTAATTGAGTGAATTGAGAATGACTTTGACCATTTGTAATGTACGGGAAAGTTGGGGGAGCAATCGACCTTGGAGCTTGGACAACTTGGATGGCGAAATAGCCCTCAAATGTTTTGGGTATGTTTTTGGTTTAAACTTAACTTTATTTCTTTTGTATCTATTTATATAGTCCCAAAATTTTAAAAGTTTTTTATGTTCATAGATTTTGAATGTGGCTTGATATAGTCCACGTTGAAGGAAAATGGACAAACATAATATATGTAGACCAACAAGATCTATACAAATGATTTTGTCATTTTATAAAATATTGAAAGTTATTCTTGTTATGTTTTTATTTTTCGATCTTTATTATGCACTCTATGTCCCTTTTTTATAGACAACACGCTATAAATAAAAAATAGCAAATAATACTTTTATTAATATTTTTGAAATTTTGGAAACAGAAAAAAAAATATTAGTAAGAAATATATTTTGCTTAAAAAATTGTTCTAGCCGCCCCCCC